GTGGGGTTTGAAGTCCCAACAACATTTGAAGGGCACCTTTTTGCCTTCCACAGACATAATATTTGTTGTTGTTGTTGTTGTTGTTGTTGTTGTTATGCTTATTTACCCTGCTTTATCTCTCCTAAAGGAGAATCGATTTCAATCCATAAAAAGGCCCAGTTATTAGTAATAGAATATATTGCTGCTATAAATATTTTGGGTGGAACCCTAGAAAACACAAAGTTCTGTTGGAAACGTTAGCCATAACCTGGTGAGTTCTGTAAGATACCCAGGCAACGTCCATTGATATCTTGCAAGTAGCACCTCTTTCTTTCTCCTTTGACACACCCATATGATAAACACTTTTGCCATTCATGTGTTAATGTTTGTTTGTTTGTTTTAAAATACTATAGCGGAGACATTCTGTAGGGATAGCAGTCCTTTTGTGCATGGGGAGGACGCAATAAGTAACCTTTTAAGTCAGTGAGTTAAGCCCTTGTGCCTGCAGGACCAACAGGTTGGCAGTTTGAATCCAGGGAGCGGGGTGAGCTCCCATCTAGCTCTAGCTTCCCATGCAGGGACATGAAAGAAGCATCCCACAGGATGGTAAAACATCAAACATCCGGGCATACTCTGAGCAACGTCCTTGCAGATGGCCAATTATCTCACACCAGAAACAACTTGCAGTTTCTCAAGTCACTCCTGACATGAAAAAAAGTCATATTAATTTTCATGGGACTTAAAACATAACCTTTTTAAAGTTTATACTTACACATTCCTATTTCTAACATAAATCCACAAATGTGAGTGAATTTTTGTATATACCTAAAAGAGATTTGTGACAAAATGTTTACATTGACATCTTGAGAGCAGATTCAGTAGAACTGCTTCCTCGATGTCCATGCTCTTCAGTGGAAATTTAGAAGAAAAGTTAGAATGACTGGGTTTGACTTTAACAGTAATGTTAGACCACAGTCTGCTCTATACCTTCTAGTAAATGAGTGCCTTTTTCCATAGGGTGTCTTATTACATTTTAAAGGGCAGGTTAGGTTATAATTTCTGTTCTATCCACTTTCATGCTTCCTCTAGCAGTAATGAAGGGTTTGGCTCAGACACTTGGAGAGCCAATCTTCCAGCTTTAACTTTCCATAGGCCTTTGCCAGGTAATAACTCTGAAAATCTCTTTTTACTGAGAACTCCTCCAAAAGGTGCAGCTGTGTGCTGGTTTCGTCTTGCAGTTTGTAGCTATGTTGGCAGCACTTAGACACAAGGTATGTCGTCCGCTCCCACACGTTGCTGTTGCTAAAAGCTGTTCAGGCCTGTCTCTATTAGAGAGAGAGGAGAGCTTTTGGATTGGAGGGAATCCCAACTTCTTTTTCGTCTGATTGGTTATCGCTCTGGCAAGGTAAAAATAGAACTAGTGGAAAATCTAGCATTTCTGACATGTCATCAGAAGCGTCCTTTAAGCTGAGATAAATGCTTAATGACTAGTGAGGAAGAACAGTCTTTAATACATCTCCAGTATCTTGTGGATTTTGGAGTCAGTTGGGTTTAAAGTAAAACCCAAACCATATTTTTGGTCGTATGTGTAAAGTAAAATGATTACTTTAAGAGAAAAATTGATACTGGATTGTAGCAAAGGAATCTACAAAGTTGCCCAGATTCTTAAGAATGTACTTGGGTCTCCAAACCTCTGTGCTGTTTTGCAGCACAGTTCAAAGCAGAAGATAGTTTTAAAGTCAGGTACTGGTTGTCAAGCTTTGTTATTTCTCTCTGTTTGTAATAATTGCATATTGGAAGTGGGGCTCATTTCTTGCTGTAATCCTTGTAATGTGTGTGCAGTTCTCTGCTCTATTGCATTTAATCCATATTCAAAGCTTATTTTGGCTTTGGTCGTTGGAATACTGGCTTTTATTCCATGTTGCTGTGGCATGTTTTTGAGAACTAAAGCATCATGAACAGACCTGGATTCCTTCATGGTAAATCTTGTAAAATGGCATTTAGTTCTAATAATTTTGTGAAGTATTTGCTTTGGCAGACAAATGTTTCTTGAGATCTTTCTCCCCTGTGTTCTTTAAATTATTGTGATTTTTAGTTTTGTGCGAAAGATGGGAAGGTTATTGCTGAAAGTATCAATCACACTGTAATGATATCTGAACTTTATATAAAAAATCTTTGCAGAAGATATTTGCTGCAAAGCATCCATTTTAAAGAATCCTGTGATTAAGCTTTTTCCACTTAGTTTGGCTTTGTTAATTGAGTGGGTGAAATTCTTGCATAACCAAAAATCTTGATTTGCTTAGCAGACTAAGCATGTCCATAGGATAGTAGACTGAAAGTTATAGTTCCTGTATACAGTTGATACAAGTATATTTTTATGAAACTATGGAATTGAGAACAAGATGAGAAAAATCTCTCTTTTAAAATTGTATAATGTTTACATTTAGATTCATGCTGTCTATATGTATTTATGAGAATTTTCATTAAAAAAACACCAAAGTGTTATACAGGTCTGTTGCTCTGTTCCCAAATTGGGGCTAACCCAGATGTTAAGTAATGTAATTAGAGGTAAATCCAGGTGCACATTCCTATTTCATTGTGGACTTAGGTTTGTCTGTGTTTTAATATTTTAATGGCTAATATTTTAACGTATTTTATAATCTTGTTGTCTTATTTAATGTTAATTTTTTGTATTGCGATTGTTTGTTAGTTGGCATGTAATGATTGCCAGTTGTAAGCCGCCTCGGGTTGAGAAGGACAGGATACAAATGTTTGAAATAAATAAATACAGAACAGTGTCATTAAGGAAATAGTCATCTTGTCATCTTGCTGATTTTCATGGCTGGTAGAGGCATTCCTGTCATAGAGTGATACTTGTTTTAATTTTGTAATAATAAGGGGTTTTTTTTGGGGGGGGGGGTGTTATTATTTTGAGTGGTACTTCTTAAAATGTTCAAGAGTAGTAGGTAGAGAACTTGAGATAGCTTATTTTCAAGGAAGTGCAATATCAAGCTGTCTAGAGGGAAATGTCACCATTTTTGCTTTCGCTTGAAAAGGGACATGAGCTGGATTTTGCATGCTAGATTACTAGCCATAGTTCAACATTTCTAGAATACATAAGAGAAACGATGACAGAATAGGACTCAAAGAAATAGAGAATATCTAAAATGTGTTTTTCTCCTAGAAAGCACTAGAGGGAGTAAGAGTGATGAGATAGTGTATAGGTCAGATTTCCATATTTGCCTCATTCAGAGCTGTTCCGTTGTTTAGTATGTTAGCATTCTGTATATGAAAAACCACACCTGCAATTATGTATGGATAGATTTGAATGGCCTTGCTGGTCAGACATAGGTTGATTCAACATTGATTTATCTAATTTGGAATAAATATATTTTGAAAATAAAACAATTTATGAACACTTTCACAATATTAGAGTTCTAGCAATAAACAAAGCTGCTTATTTTGGATAAAATGATTATGTTCTGGCAGATAGTATATTGAGAAAAACTGCTTCTAGCTGCACCGTGTTAAAACGAAAATGGAACATCCAATTAATTGTGTTCTTTATATGTGTAAGTGCAGTTCCAATTAATGCTGCAGTTATTTTCAGTGAATTTAGTTTTTCTTCTGTGGGAAATTAAAAAAACTACTCTAAAAGGTTTTCTGCTAATTATATATATAGCATGTTAATGATTCTTATCAAAATTGCTAGCATTTCTAGCAGTTCAATTAGCTGTTCTCCAAGTGAAGCTGATAGCTCCCTCAACTGGTGCTAGATATAAACCCAGATAGCTGAAGGCTTTTAGTTGCGGGTCTCTTTCACATAGCACACACTTTGCCGTGGTTGCATCATATAAAATCCTGAGCGATTTTTTTTGGTCACATGAGACTGTAGAGTTCTCTAGTAGAGAAAACAAGTACCCCATGAAACTGTTGGATTCCACAAGATGCAACAATAACAGTTAATATACTGTAATGGTAAAAAATCATATTTTCTGAGAAACATCTATACAGTCTGATGTTCATCTATGCACTTGAATCCAAGCGTCCTCACATTTATAACATTGAAAAGAGAGGAACACAAAAGCCTTTGGTAGCCATGGCAGGTTGCATGCATATGTGCAAACTATATGTCCACATCACTGAGTACTTTTTAAAGATCTACACATGCTCAACCCCACCATAGTGTGATGTAGGACTTGGTCTTCAAGATAGTACTAAAATCCAGGACTATCTTTTGCCCTAACAGAGCCATCACTTGATGGAGATCCATACATAACTGCCACTTGTTCTCTTGATCTCAATTAGCTTCCCAAGCAAATATCTCAAATTTGCAGAGATAGCATTTGCTATCAGGTTGCCTTTTCTACAGGAATTTGTTGGTTGTGTGCTGACCTCAAAGTATCCATGTGATATGGTGGCTATTCCTCTCTGCTGTCATACTTAAGCAAATCTGTTTCACATTGCCTGCTCACAGGTATCAGATTAGGCTTGTGGCCTTTGTTCTATTTATGTTCTTCAAGGGCAAATGCACACTATCATAATTTAGCTTTACCTACTACAGTGAAAATTATCAAAAAAATATAATGACCAGTAGTTACCTCAGAAGTTCATACAGTAGTCACAATTAATTAAAAATACAAAATGTGAAAAGATGATTTCAGGTAGAAGTATGTATTTCTGAAGTTACACGGATGACTTTTTATAAAAAATCTGAAAGGTATCATGCGAGGGTTGTATCCACTGAAACTGGACAATGTGTCCTGAATTCCTTTCATTTCCATTATATATAAAATACTGATATTTAAACTCAAACTTTTTTAAAAAACAAAAGGATTATGAAAAAAATTAATATCAAAAAATATAATTACCAGTGCTTAAGGACAGATTAATAAACTGTTATCAGCAGATAAAAAGAATTTGTTCAGTGTTTAAAATTTAACCAGCTGCATTACATCTCATGATCTTTATAAACAATAAAGTTAACCTTTATTTATTTATTTCTTTATTTATTGTTGTAGGTTTTGCACTTCCAGATCTTTCAGAACAGTTTTCATCACCTGATAATGCTCCTCCCATCCTTGTCAAATTAGTGGAAGCCATTGAAAGAAAAGGTATGTAGATTTGATATATATAGAGAGAGTATTCATTTATTATAAATGTAATCATCTTACACATGGCATCCTTTAAGAATCCCATTTTGCATTGTAACCAGCATATTAGACAGGTAATGCTTGGTTTCACTTATTATTTTCTTACAGAACAGTGTCTAGAACTGCCCCAAATTCCACAAGGTTTTTTTTCCCTTAAGCTGAACATTTCAATTCATCTTATTAAGACTGATCCTACTAGTTTGGACAAGCCAGGTTCATGCTTGAAATATGTTGCTGGTTTTAATCTTTAAAGACTTACAAAGCTTGGGACCATTCTGAAAGACCACCCATTCCCAGAACTACTAATTCATGCCAAAGTTGTGGAGGCGTCCACTGGAGAAAGGGTTTGTTCAGTAGTGGTAGCCCAATTATAACCAAATAAAAATTAGGTTTGTAGTTTTTCTGATGCCAGATGAACATAGTTCTGTTCACACAGGCCTTTAAAATAATTTATGTATCTTAGACCACTCGTTTCAAAGACTGTTTCAATTCTGTGGTTGGTTTTATGTTTGTTGCAATTACACTGCCTTTGATCATACGTTTTTATGTTTGCTGCTGTGTATAAATTGTTTTTAAATAGCATTTTAATGTTCCTAACTATGCATTGGTAGGCTCATTTACAATAGTCAGAACAGCCAAACTTCTGCACGTTTCACATGAATTCAGAAGATACGTTATCTGTGGGTAATAGTTCAGAACAAAGCGAGGAATGTTATTGGTCCCAAAGCAAGGGACATGACTGCCTGCCATGGCTAATACAGAGTAAAACAGTCAGTCAAGCAAGTAACATCTGCTTGATTTATTTTTAAACATCATTTTGTTAACATCCCTTTCACTGAGGGAAAAAGCTGTTGTTCTTGTTTTGACTTTAGCCCAAAACAGGGCTGACTGATCATTGGTAGAGAAGGATGTTAATTGTTTTGAACACATTATGCCAAATTTATGTAGATGGATTTGACTTTTTTTCTCATCTAATATCCCCTTGCCCCCCAGTCACTTTCAAAGTCTCTTTCTTAAATAAGAAGATCAAAACAGCCTATCAAAAAAGTAGGACAGGAACCTAAAATGGTAATTTCAAATATATATGTATAGTAGTTTTATGAACTTGGCAAAGCCCTGCCTTAATATAACATTTCTTGGCTTTCTCCTCCCTTTACAGTAGTCTCCAATTTACACTTGATTTGTGTCTCCAGGCATACCTTACAAAATACCCATAGATAATATTAGTCTGGGATTTTTGAGTCCTTTGTTTCTGAGGTGACAGGATAACAGTGAATGCTGATTTTGAAGAAAACCTGTAAATCAAGGTTAGATTTAAATTCTGCTTTGTACTAGCAGACCATAGTCCTCTTCCCTCCTTCTTTGTAGACCTCATTGATACACCTGACTTCAGAGAAAGGGGAGATTGATCTCTGTTACACTAAAGGGCAACCTCCTTGTGATTTAGGCAATTCATACTTGTATCTTCTTTTTTATTGTTGTTCATTACTTTTTAAAACAAACAAAAATAAGTACAATATCCACATTTGAATTAAAGCAGTAGAGGTCTTTGAAATATACTTAGCTAAATTCAATTGGTAATCATGAGTAAAGTAGCAGTATTTAACCTCTAGTGTTTCCAATATATTGTTCTACCATTCATTCCCTGGATTTACACTGTGGAATATCATTTGGATTGATATTAAGAGGGGGTATTTCAGTGGATAAATATTGATGACAGAGCTATTCCTCTATCCATCTCTGCTGCCTTGAAACAGTCTCCACGCCAAAGCCCCCGGTGGTGCAGTGGGTTAAACCGCTGAGCTGCTAAACTTGTTGACCGAAAGGTCGCAGGTTTGAATTCGGGGAGCAGCGTGAGCTTCCGCTGTCAGCCCCACCTTCTGCCAACCTAGTAGTGCGAAAATATGCAAATATGAGTAGATCAATAGGTACCACTCTGGCGGGAAGATAACCGCACTCCATGCAGTCATGCTGGCCACATGACCTTGAAGGAGTCTATGGACAATGCCAGCTCTTCGGCTTAGAAATGGAGATGAGTACCAACCCCAGAGTCAGACATGACTGGACTTAATGCCTATTAATGCCTTGACCTTTACCTATGTTATGACCATGCATCTTTCAGTTCACATTTGGTTTGGTTTTGATACATACTTTTCAAAGTAAAACAATTGGAACGCATGATTTAGGTTTCTAATGTTGCTCATCCAGTAGATAGATATATCAGGTGTTTGCTTGTGTGAGATCACGTACACAGCCAATATAACCCAGGGACCTGAGGACGTAATTTAAAATATAGAAATCCATAGGAGATGTTTTGGTTCAAAAACGATTCTGTTCTTCTTTTTTAAAAGGTCTGGAATGTTCAACATTGTACCGATCACAAGGATCAAGCAGTACTAATGAATTAAGACAGATTACTGAGTGTGGTAAGTACAACGATGTTTATTTTCAGTGGACTGCAGATTGGTTTGTGAGTTGTCACACACCAGTCTGTTTCAATGTAATTAAAGTTGATATATGTGTTATGCCATTTATTCCTTTGATTTTTTTTACATAATTTACATAATACAAACGATAAACACAGAATAATCTTTAATATTATTCTAGGCATTATTATTATCCTAATATAACCAGAGTGTCAAATATTTATTTGGATCCTGAGTAACAGGTGGATAGTTTACAGAGTCAGTTAACTCTAGTATTCAGTGAAGAAACAAGAGTACTTTAATTTTCAGAATGAAACTGACATTTCATTGATAACTTGGACAATTATTCTTTCCAGCAAAAAAAAAAAAGAAGTTGTGAAAACAGTAGAGAAGACTTGTCTTCTTAAATAGAATCCTTGTGTGTGTGTGTGTGTGTGTGTGTGTGTGTGTGTGTCAGGAGCAACTTGAGAAACTGCAAGTTGCTTCTGGTGTGAGAGAATTGGCTGTCTGCAAGGATGTTGCCCAGGGGATGCCTGGATGTCCCCTGGGGACATTCTGTGGGAGGCTTCTCTCATGTCCAGGCATGAGAAGCTGGAGCTGACAGATGGGAGCTCACCCTACTCCCTGGATTTGAACCACTGACCTTTGGTCACCAGTCCTTCCAGCACAAGGGTTTAACCCATTGTGCCACTGGGGGCTCCTTAATCTGCACAGAGCAATCCAGCCCTCCCATTGTGCTAGATTAAGAGGGATGCTGCTAGTACATCAGTGGAACAACTTCTTTATCCACTTCATTCTGAACCTAGGAAAGGAAGCAGAACAAGACATGCCCACAACATCTCTAGAAACATTAGATTACTCATCAGTTGTAAGAACGTTTAAGCAATGCCATCTATGTACAAAGGATGTCAATGCAGATGCAAGGCTTATGATACTAACAACTCTTAGCAAAGGCCTTTCTATTACAACGATAGCATGTATGCTCTTATTCAGTCAGCTCTAGTGACCCAAATAATACTATGTCATTACCAGTCTTCAAGCATTCCTGCAGGCAAGGGTTTGAACTCTGTTGTTCTTCTCACGACCACCAATTCCAAGCATGGTGAAGAAATACGATTTTCCTGCTTCTTGGCAGGGGGTTGGACTGGATGGTCCAAGAGGTCTCTTGCAACTCTGTGATTTTATGATTCTATAAATTAGGCAGCATAATGCACAGTGATCAGATCCATGGCAGAGAGCAAGATTTCCTCCATCGACAGTAGGTGAAGGGAGAGAACATTATCTAAGAAGGGGACTGGAAAGAGTAACAAACATCCAGCTTGTGTACCCTGAGAACCATACCATCTCACCATTCAGGGAACTCAACTGAACAGAGTGTGTAGAAGCCTCTGGTCTTGAGCTAGCAAACCTCTTCAGAGTCTCATGATAGGAATATCTAACCAGATCCTACCAGCGTGTGGGTATCTCTATCTACTACTCCCAAGCAACAAATAAACAATTCATGTGGCAGGACCAGAGTTTCTGTAGAGCAGCAGCTGGCAAGATACAAATCCCGAAAGGACAAGACAGCTGCCAAGTTGCTGAACAGTTAGCTGAGGAGGGCGTATGTGCCTTGTCTCACCAGACTGACTAGTGGGTATTGTGTCCTTTATGACTGCAGCTGATCTATTGCATAATTGTATGCCCTGGATTTTGTGATCCTACAAGTGTTGAGTATGTTAATGTCTTACAATTTGGGACTAAGAATTCTGGTCATAGTTGCTGGTTGTGAGGCTCCTTCATAAACAGTAGCACATAATAGGAATGAGTTTAGTATCTTCAAGGAAGTTACCTGTAGAAACAAGTGAAGACACAAATGAACAGTAGGGCAAGAAAATAGTCTGTGCAATTGAAGACAATTAAAAGTAGTTTTTGTATTCTTGAAGTTTGCTTGCATAACCAGAAAACATTTAGCTCTTTTTCTTCACAGCTGGATTTCAGTAATCAAAACATAATTTTACATTTTGCAGCTTGTGTTATTACAGAAATAATAATAAAAATGAGTTATTAACTCTGCACAACATGCTCTTGTGGTAGATGTCATTACTGAACAATTATAGTAACAGTGCATAAGGAATTTTGATGATTTTGATAATGGTGTTTTGTGTTTGTATGTTGTAAAACCGCCCTGGAAAATATTTTAAAGGTATAATTTTAATTCCTAAATAATATTAAGAATTGCAAACATATTTTAAACTTAAAAGCACGTCTGCTTTAAAAGTTGTATTCTACAACTTTGCTCAGATGCATGATTATATTAATGCAGGTATATACACATTTTGATACATACTTGAGTTTTCAGAAATGTAAAAGTCAGTTTCAGCCTTTTTATTCACAGTGGCCTTGGCTGTTTGTTTTTTTTTTACTGCACTACTGTTTACACAAAATATTAGTATGTAAAACATAGCTCAGTTAAAAATACCTTGGATTCTTAGAAGACCTCTAGCAGTTTACCTGTGTTCTCATCTGAAGTAGAGGCAAGCATGTATACCCTTCTTAGCCAACATGTTGGAGTAGGACTCTGGGAGATTTCTTGCCAAGAAAATCCTAGAAGAGGATCACAATAAATTAGAGTTGGTTTGAAAGCACCACCACCAACAAGAAATATATATCAAAGTAATACTTAAAGTATGTTTGGTCTGGTCATTATGAGACCCAGCCAGTTCTAATGACAAATTTTAAACGTGCATCTTATGTTTAATCTTTGTTCTGTGTGTTTAATATGTATTTTATAGAAATATGTTTAATATGTATATTTTATAGAATGTTTTTAGGTAATTATGTGTTTTTAGTGATGTTGTAACCCGCCTCGAGTTACAAGGAGAGGCGGGTAAGAAATAAAATTATTATTATTATTATTATTATTATTATTATTATTATTATTATTATTACTTGAAACACAACAAGATGAGTCCACAGCAGACAAGATCACTCTGCTGGCTGTTGTATTAGATCACACGGCGGACACTTCCCAAGTGTCTACGACTGTGTGATGTATCGGTGAATAATGCATGCAGATCCCAGTAAGGTGGCCTTCTGCAGCTGGCAGATGGTAATTTTGTCAGCCCCAATTGTGTTTAAGTGCAGGCCAAGGTCTTTAGGCTATTATTATTATTATTATTATTATTATTATTATTATTATTATGTGATCCCTTATGTAGTTTGCAGTAGTTCATTGGCAGCATGAAGAACTGTCTAAACTTCCAACTGGTATATTTTGAGTAGAAGCCAGCATTACTGATAGCTGCTCATAGAGTGGGGCTTTGCCCATCCTCTTTCCCTTTTGCGTTCCCCACATTCACAGGAAAAATCCGTTCCAAAGGGTACCCAGCTCTCCAGAGTAGCTTTTGAAAGTGGAGAGGGCAAGGAGAGTTGGCCTGCCCTGTTCTTTAGATTAAAGCTATTTCATTTGTGATGAAATAGGAAGAAGAGTGAAATGGATACAAACCTCTGTATACAAAATTTTCAGTCCCCTTCTCATGTTCATATACTGACAATATATTAAGTCGCCTTTCAAAGTCTTTTAGATTTATAATAATATAAACAATTGTCTTATCTGAAGATATCCTAAACATTCCAGATAAGTAAAAATGATTAGCAATCCCAAAGGGTGGGGTGGATAAGGGAGTAAAAAGCCTGTAGCCTGGCAACAGAAGATCTATGTAAATGGAGACCCAACTGTCATCACCAAACAGCTTGTGTGAGGCCCAGCTGTTCTACCTGGCTTCCCCTCTCTGTCCTTGGATGATATGAAAAGGTCTAGAGTTCTGAGGTGAACAGAGGATACAGTATATTATTTATGTAAGCTACCTTGGGGTGCCTTCTGAATTAAAAAAAAAACAGGATGGAAATCAAATGCCTAGTTACATAAAAGTAAATATTTTGGTGTCTTATTTTAAAACTGCCAACTTTCTAATTTTTGTGTGTGCGAAATAAGCATTGAAAACATTAAAAAGGCAAAAAGAGTGAATTTTCTTTCTCTGTGTCTTTCAGATATTTCTGCAGTGGATTTTGATGCCATTGATATTCAGATTTTATCAGATGCTTTGAAGAGGTACTTTCTTGACTTGCCAAATCCTGTCATTCCAGCATCTGTTTACAATGAAATGACTTCGATAGCACAAGGTATGAATATAAAAGTTTTCCTCTGCAAAAAAGCTTCAATCCTTACTATTTATAGTTCAGCGATTTTATTCTATTTTCGGTGTCGTTGGGATATGGAAGGCTTCATATATCAAAAGCACAATCCCATGTATGTTACTTGAACATAAGACTCCCACTCCTACATTTTCGTTTAGTTTTTTTATATTATGTGGTATAAATCCTGGTTTATTGGTACAGGAAAGTGTGTGTTTTAGCTCAGGTTTGCACCCATTAAATAAAGGTTTTTCTTTCTTTCTGGAAAGTATCTGAAGACTGGCACCATTGCTTTAATGTAGCAACTTAAATGTTTTTGGGTGTATGTATATTTAAAATCTTTAAAACACAATATACAAAACGGACCTTAGCTTTAGGAACATAGTGTGTCTTGGCGAGTACAATATTTGTTCAAACACAGGTTAACATATCAAGGATTTGTCTGTATGCAGAAAGAGCTAATTGTTAACTTTTTATCAGTGGTCATGAGGTAAATGTATTAAAATAGGCAAGATTCTGAAGTCCGTTGGGAATTATGGTATAGAATGCAATAAAATCATACAGATAAGGCTTGTCTCCCTCAATAGTGAATTCAGGCAGTCAGACTAAACCTTTTTGGTGATACTTTTCACATTAGGTTTCAAGTGCTAGAAACAGGATATTATTGCTGCTATAACCTTTAAAGTTAGAACAGCACCTCTTGAGGCTTATCTTTAACATCTCAGAATTACCCAATCACATATGACACTAAACAGAAGACAGACTCCTATCCTTGCACAGTGAACATTTTGTGGTTTTTACAAAGTGATACTTCTGTTTCACTTTGACTTTTGTATCATTGATACTCTCCTCCCCTTCCCACTTTACTTACTAAAGTTCTCACTGTTTCAAAGAAGAAAGTGAAGCTTGGAATTTCTTAGAGAGGTTAATGCTTCTAATTAATACTTTGGAGGAATTTTTTTAAAAAATGATAAAATACTCCACTCTCATTAAAAAATATTTCTTTCCTTGCAGAAGTGCAGAACTCAGAGGAATATGCTCAAGTACTGAAGAGGCTCATCAGATCACCAAATATACCTCAACAGTATTGGCTAACACTCCAATATCTGCTCAAACATTTTTCCAGAATTTGCCAGAGCTCTACCAAAAATCTTCTGAATGCGAGGTCTCTAGCTGAAATTTTCAGCCTCCTCTTGTTTAGGGTCCCAGTAGCAAGGTATGTAATACACATATGCATTAGATAACTATACAGAATATTTAAGTTATTCAGTATATGCTTTAATAACTGGTCAATATTTTTTTTTACAGCTCCGACAATACGGAACACCACATAAAAATCCTGGAAGTATTAATTTCAAGTGAATTGAATGAGAGACAACCTGCACCAGGTAAGGAAAATCTATATTTTGAAAATACATATTGCATTTTACATTTGCTACTAATAATATAGGAATGAGAATATGTGTGTCTGTGGGGTTTTTTTTGGGGGGGGGGTTACATATATGTCCTTTAACAGTTTCTTAGTTATACAGAGTTTTCTTTCTGAAATAGGAGGCAAACTATGTGTTCTTCTCTGATATAATTTAGCAATGGGTGCAACTGAAAAACCAAATTACCTGTTGAAACTTGTTTGCTGTTAGGAATGAGTGGTTTTCAGCTCAGAGTTTTTCAGGAGTCTTATATGCTGTCCCCCCAAGGAAAATCAATAATAGAATCTCTATACAAGACAGCTATGAGGAATCAAGTACTGTGCATAGTAGCAGAAGGGCGTTAATGGTATGTGAAGACTGACTGTCCTCACTTACCTTGTTTTGTGATTATACAGCAATACGAGTCTGAGGGAAGCTCCATATAGACATACTTAGTGTTGAGAAAGAAAGGAATTTGTGCGAACTTGTTTGTTTTATTAAGTGTGTGATTGCTTTTGTTTTGCTTTTGAAATATTAATTATATTTTATTGTGGATTTTGTACGTTTCTGTGGTATTTTTGTGTACGGTGGTATAAACATTTGAACATATAAATAAATAAACAAAGAAACCAATCATAGGTAATTTTTAAAAAACCCATACACTTCATTTAAAAAGAAAATAGCGTTATTGTTAAAAACAAAAAATAAATATAGCACAGAGATAAGATCAGTTACATTTAACTCTCATGAATGAAAAAGGTTATAGTTGACTGGCTAAATGTTTGTCTGGTTTTTTTTTTTTTTAGATGTTTCTGTGTATCAAATTTGTGTGTTTGCTTTCTTTAGAAAGAGGACATAGTCATCCATCAATATAAATACAGATACATAATAGCAAGATAGCAATTTAAGAATTGCATGTTGTAATATTGAAGGCTAGAATTTTGATGGTTAAACTTGAGAACTTAGTGATTTGTTTCACTCCGGCACTTTGGATTGATCCTTAAGTACAACCTATTTTATATCCGCAGGCACTGCTGCGTTTTATGGAATTTTAGATCTTATTTATAATGGTTTATGTGATGTTTTATGTAAAATTGTTGTGTAAATTTATATTGTCATAATTTTATATGCTTATGTATTGTGCATTTATGTGTGCTGCACTTTGGAGTTCTTTGGTGAGCCGTCCGAGTCCCTTCGGGGATATGGTAGCAGGATATAAATAAAGTTTTATTATTTTTATTTATTTTATTGTTATAGTAGTGGTAAACATAATTATAAGGATTACTGCGATGTGATATGTGATGGCATATGAGAGAGGACTTGTAGTGTTAATTGGCCAGATAAAAAACCTTTTGATTGTCTCCTCGTAACCTTCTGTTCTTCAAGCTAAATATACTGAGCTCCATCTAGCACAGTATTGTTTATAGCAGTTCTCCAAATTTCAGACTGAAGCCTTTCCCAGCCTCTTCTGAAGAGGCTGGGGATTAAACCTAGGACTTTCTGCATGCAGTGCAAACTGCTCTTGGGGTGTGCTGTAGCTCTTCTTATAACCTGATATTGGCAGGGGCCAAAATTGTTGCAGGAGATAAAGAGAGTGGTTTTGCCAAGTCTGTGAACATTTTATCAGTCTTCTAGGCCTTAAGATTTGGCAGATCTTCTCAAGAGCGGAAGGAGAACCAGATCTTTATTATTATTATCATCGAGGTTCTTGTGTCCCACTGAAATGTGTCCTATAATAGTAATATTAAAAATTTCAAAATATCATTTTTTATTATATATCAAGTTGAAAAAGAGCACATGAGTATGCAGAAGTATTTTATTTGCTCTTGAAATCCCGTAAAGTAAAGGTAAAGATTTTCCCCTGACATTAAGTCCAGTCGTGTCCAACTCTGGGGTTGGTGCTCATCTCCATTTCTAAGCCGAAGAGTCTGTAGACACCTCCAAGGTCATGTGGCTGGCATGACTGCATGGAGCGCCGTTATCTTCCTGCTGGAGCGGTACCTATTGATCTACTCACATTTGGATGTTTTCGAACACCTAAGTTGTCAGAAGCTGGGGCTAACAGCTGGAGCTCATGCCACCACCCCACCCCCACCACCCCGGATTCGAACCTGCAACCTTTCGGTCTGCAAGTTCAGCATCTCAGTGCTTTAACCCAGTATGCCACCAGGTGCTCCTTAGCCTGTTAAAAATTAGAAAGTAGGCGTAATTCTAAGATCCATTTTCTGTGTATGGCTATCGTAAACAACCACTGAACACAGTAGTTCAGAAATCATGCCTAGGATTATGCTACCAGGATCTGTAGTAGAGTTAAAAGACCCCCAACCCAATTTTAAATCTGTAACTGGTTCTTTTTGCATGTGTACTATTTGGTTATCTATCTGGTTGCTTGGCAGGATTTATTAGAGAGAATTATTATAAGTACAGTATTAAGTGATAATAAGCTGTGCCTGTATAGATTCTAGTATAAAGATTCATCACACATCACCTGTGTTGAGAGAAGATTAATGAGTCTGAGTGGATTTGGCACTGACATCATCGTTTTTATAGCTCTTCCTCCACAAAAGAGTTAGTAATAACTCAAGATTTTCAGCCCGTCTGCATTCTACTGTTTGTCCAAAAGAGGGCTCTCCTTCTAAGCAAATAGAATTGCATGTAATTTTTTACAAAGTACATTATCTTTCCCATCTGTTTAGGAAAGCTAAGCAGCGTCAGCTCTGGTTGGTACTTGGAGAGAAGACGACCAAACTAATACTAGGTGCAGTAGTCAATATTTCAGAGGAAGAAACTGGCAGAACCACCTCTGAGTAGTCTTTTCTTAAGAGAATTCTATTACATTCATAGAGTATCCGTAGATCATTGGACAACTTGAAGGCTCACAGGCACAAACACAGCACCTTATGAAACTGTTTTATATCTAAAACAAATTTCAGTTACTCATTAGTGTGTACTACAGTTAGATGTAGAGTTGTTCCTTTTCTAACTGGCCTCTGCATCTTATTAATATCAAAAGCAAATGATGTTTTTTAAAAGAGAAAAGAAAGACAGCTGCAGGCAAAAGACACACTTCCAGTTCATTCTCTCCCCTTGTCCTATCTCCAGCACTGAGTTACACCATGCATCCACATCATCGTTGTGCTGAAATTCTCCTTAGGAGGGGAGCTGTGCCCATCATGCCTCCTGCAGTCTGAATCCTGGTGCCAGATAAAGCACTCACTCAACACCTAGAGCTGCCATGGCCACCTGTGTTAGAGTCTAAATTCCCAAATAAAAGCTAGAGGAAGGCATCCTAAAGAATAAATGTTGTATGTGCTTATTTTGTGTGTATATTCTTTGGCTGGTGTGGTGAGTTCTGTAATGCCTCTCTCCCACTTGTATTTTGTCAGAATTTGACAAGCATTTTGTCCCACGAGTACTTTTAAAGATAATTTGATGGTCTCTCCCCCTCTTTGTCCTTTCATTGATGGCTCGTGGCTTTATTTGTCTCACGTTTTGTTTATATAGAATTGCTTCTATTCTAAATAACTAAATAGAAAAATAAGTAGAAGAATATTTTCATTTGCCTCATGAGCACACCTGCCATAAGAGAGAGAGAAAAATTGGATTGATCTAGTCATTTTTAAATGTCAGACTCCTGTTTTGCAGTGCTGACAAATTACATATAGAGTGGAGTCTCGCTTATCCAACCTTTGCTCATCCAATGTTCTGTATTATCCAGCGCAGTCTGCCTCCCTCCCTGATTCATAGCTGTTTCAATACATTGCAATGTTTTGGTGCTAAATTCGTAAATACAGTAATTACTACATAACATTACCATGTATTGAACTGCATTTTTGTCGGTTTGTTGTAAAACATGTTTTGGTGCTTAATTTGTGAAATCATAACGTAATTTGACATTTGACATTTAACAGGCTTTTTCTTAATCCCTCCTTATCATTCAGCATTTTTGCTTATCCAAAATTCTGCCAACCATTTTTGTTGGATAAGTGAGACTTTACTGTAACCCCAAATATTGTGACATTAAACAAATCTACTGAAAAGTGTACTCCATTAGAAAAAGTGGAACTTGTTTTGTGTGAGCAAACCTCTCCGAGATTGTGTTACTTGAAAGCTCTGTAGCAGTTGATGTACTAAGCTGAAGTGAGCGAGTGTTTAGGGAGGAGCTGAACTTTTAAGTTGATTTTAATTTGACTCAGCAGTGTAGGACTTCATTTTATGGGTCTGCAAACAGCACCTGTCGTTGTGGCCCGGTGAAAGTGTGTGGAAGGTGGTGCAGTGAATGCTAACAAGCTTCTGCACTCAGTCGTGGGTTCTTGGAGGCACAGAACTTCACAAAGAAGGCTTTCATTCTAGCACACACACACACACCCTGAACTAGCTCAGCCACTTCCTCTACTGGGCTGCTTATAATGCTTTTCTTGACAGGCATCTACTTCAATGCTGCATGCAGCCACTGCTTGCAGGGACTATTTTAAGGCTACTTACAATGGTCTTCTCATTTACTTGGCTAAAAGGGGACCAGTTAGTCTCGTATTGGCCACTTGTTAGCTGATGACAACTCTGACTTTGACTCTGACTTCCCTCTCCCCCTCTAAAATCCCTTGCTCAGCAAATATTTGAACCTGGCCAAGTTAATCATGAAACTGAGATCTTTATCTCGGAGGGACGTGCAAGAAACGGAGGACTTAAAAAAGTTAAAATCAGTGATGAAACAGAAATGAGGGGATAGACCCAGTCAGCACAGAAGTTGATTCTTTCCAAAGGTAAAAGGACTTGGAGTTTTTGTCTTATTCTGCAGCTTTTTCTTTTGGATTTAAGAAGCCACGCAGATAGACAGCAAGAGTGGCGAAACATCGTGGTTGTTTCAGGGATGCTTTTGGATTTAAGGATAGTTTTTTGTTGATTTTTTTTTTACTTTTTCATTCTGTGGAGCTTGGAATTTTCAAACTGTCAGATATAAATACGTAAAGGTGTGACTGTGTGCCATTCTATACAAAGTAAGTGGCTCTTGGTTTGACTAGAGAGGGAAATGCAAACTTTTTCAGTATTTCAGAGAAAGTTATGTGTACTGGAAATGTATCTACATTGACTTGTATGAGTTTATAAATTATAATATGTGTTACAATAAAATGTATATGCTTTAAGTAAAGCTTTCCTGGTTGAGTGAAAACTTGTAACATTCAGTGTATGCTGGAACAGTGGAAAATCACCTGTATGTCAGTGTCTTGCCGATTCTGGTTTGCCACATGGTGTCACAGCAAGCTAGACTAGTTTGGGCTAAACTGTAACCTGATCATACAAGTGTATGTGTCTAGAATTTAGCCCGAACCATACTTTCCCCTTTGGATGCTATTTGAGGAAAATGCAAATGAAAACTGCACTAACTGCCTCATCGGAGTTGTTATGTGTGTGCTTTGTGTCTTTCATAAACTAATTTAAGCAATGTACCTTGGCAACAGAGCTGTTTGGAGAGCAGGTGGACTAAACCCTCAAGTTCAATGTTTGGACTTGTGTCTGGGTCTGCTGAAGTGTCCTGTTACCCGGGGCAGATGGAAGGAACATCCAAGGCATGTCTACCTAAATGGATAGGGGTGGGAGTCTACTTGAGGATGGCTTTAAGCATGTCTGTAGTAGAGCAATGAACGTGTGCCTGTTTTGCTACTGTTGATGCTGTAACTATGTCCTTGCAAGCTCATACTTGCCTGGAAGAATACAAATGGTCAAGAGGGTTTTTCATATGTGTGGTGTTTAGAGAATGTAAATTAAGTTGGTAGTTTTCTATAATGCATGTTCTATAGCTGTTTTAGTATAATAATTTGGTGGTAGTGGTAGAATGCAGGTGTAAAATATTTTCTATTCCTTGCTTTGCTTTAGTAACTGTGTAAAATGCACAATATTCTATAGCATGTTGAGTTCTGTAGCAGAGGCATCACAAGAAATTACTCTTATATTTTAAAAAATGTTTCTGGCTTGGTTTAGTGGAAAAGGTCTCGGATAGCAAGCAATAATATCAAAGCTGATGTGGAGAAAGACTGACCAAGAATTCTTGCTCTTTAGGAATTCTCAAAAGGGCAAGCACCCTGGTGCGAGCAAGTCAAGAGAGACGCTGTGTGAACTAGGTGTCCTTAAATGTGCCTTTGCACTTTAAAAGCATGAAATGATTGAGAGGGTTGGCTTTAATTAAAAGGAAGCTGTTTAGTTTTTCACTCCTTACAGTGTAAAAATGTTGTTGCCGTCGTTTACCTTAGATTTAAAGAAAGGAAAAGCTTGTGCATCAATCAGATTGTTGCGGTTTTCAGCCTTCGTGAAAAGGGGATTTTGTGAGAGAACATTTTCTTATTCCAGTGCACTGTGAATACTTTAAATATTTTAGTACAAAATTGTGCAAGATTGTTATTTATATCTCCCTTGCTTAAAAAGTAGATTCCAAATGTGTATAAAAGTATGCACAGTAACCTATACTAAACAGTAGAGCACTGTGACTGCAAAGTAATCCAGCTCTCCATATACCAAGAAATCTACTGTATTGAAAGAAAACGCTTCCTGCTGCAGCGTATCAGCCTTTTGTCAACCTGCCAGCAGTGGAATGTACCAAGCAGCAGACTGAAAAGATTAAAGGGGAGGGAAAAAGCAGCGTAAACTAAGAACATGTTCGGTGTTTTTTGTAAAAACGATCAGGTGCCGATCATAAGCGTCTGCTCTTTCTGAAATGACAATTGTTGTAAGATTAACAATGAATAACAAAAATGATGAAACAGGAGTGGTCCAGTGACATTATTTTTGACATGATTGGCTGGGGATTATGATGTAATAGGTTACAGTGCAGCCCCTTATAGGTTTTAAAATGAATTCCAAGACACCATTACAAAGAGATCTTGGCTGTTTCCTTATAACTGAGCTTTCTCACTGAAACTCACACAATGTACAACACTGTCTGGAATATGGAAGAGCTGGACATAGACTATCCTAGGACAGATATAAATTGTGGCACGGACTTGATGTTTTACATAGAAATGGACCCACCAGGTAATGCTGCAGCACTTTTGTTGACGACTAGCATATTCTGAATGTTACAGCAGTTGTTGTTTGAAAAGGAGGAAATGTTTAGGGTTAACTTGCTTTGTTGCTGAATTAAATTGTATTTTGCACAGGGGGGAAAAGAATTAGGAAGGGGGGCTTGTACAAAATTGTTTCTTCGTCTTCAATTAATTGTCATGTGATTTCTGTTTTAGTTTCTTCTCTCACCTGTAGGTTTGCTTGTTACAGTAAAACTGTTCTGTGTCGTAGTAAAAACAAATATTTTTTTCCTTAAAAATTGTGATATTTTAATTTTTTGGAATGTTGTTGCAATTGTTCTTTCTGACCATTTTTACTTAAAATCATTTAGGGAGATCATTAAACTGCATTAAATCTGTTTCGATTTACTTTTTTAAGTGTATGCAAAGTATATATGAATAGGATTTAACAATTAAACTAAAGACCTGGATTGTTTTTGATTTTTTAAATCTTGATTTCAGTGTTGTCCAGATTTAGCTGTAAGCTAGAAATGCTGCAGTATCTTCTTGGGCATCCACTGTTACATGGATGCAGCTTTGACATTGAGAAGAACGGATGTGGCTTTTTCATCAGTTTTGCTTTTTAGAACTGCTTCATCCTATTTAATGCTAAGATTAACACCAGGGACATTGGGGTCAGAGATGGCTTGCTTGAAGTGATTTTTGGCAGATTATTATGCAAAATGCAGTGGATCAGAGAAAGCTGGTCCCCCCCCCCCCAAATATATATATATATATATATATCAGTGCCATAGATCTGATGATTTTGGTTATTACTTACAGCATGTTGGCATTAGAAAGTAAAATGGATATTTAAATGTGATGGAAATACCTCTGGATATTTAAATATGATAGATGTGGGAAGATGATATGGTAAAGCTTCATTTCATAAAATGGTATGAATATTTAAGTTAATAGAAAGGATGGATAGTGTCATGGGGAAAACTTCAGTATATATCTTTTGAAGTCTAAATTGCAGCTTGTCCTAGATGGAAAGGGGAGGAGCTGTTCTCCTTGGCTGAGAGCATAAGACCTTTAAGCAATCAAAGCTGCACTCTTATTCACGCTTACCCAATGACAACCACAATAAACACAGTAGGATTTGCTTATTAATACATACAATAAGGTCTTATCGTCTTGCAAAGGAATGGATTCTGTTTACTGGTTATTTGGAGGGATTGGATGGACAGATTTTAAATGCTGTGTTTAAAAACATATTAAAATTTCCAATAATTGACTGCCTCTGATATTATAAGTAATCATTTTAAGAATTGTATTGCTTGCTGTGTACAGAAATTCTAAGGTCTTCTTTCCTTTCACTTGCAGCACTGCCTCCTAAGCCTCCAAAGCCTAATACTGTAACAAATAACGGTATGAATAATAACATGTCTCTGCAAGATGCTGAATGGTACTGGGGAGATATCTCAAGGTAAGGGCAATAGGACACATAAGGTACTCTAAACATTTCACTGTCAATTTACTACTAGGGGAGAGATAGTTTTAGAAACAGATCAAGACTAGAATCATTTTTAAAACATCTTGATACAGAAAACTATGAAGGGGCATCGTTTTAAATCTTTGTATTTAGGGGATAAATTAGGTTCACACCCATGTTTTTTCCATTGTATAAACATCTTTAAACAAGTGCAGGAAGTGATGTTCATTTAATTACTGTGTCTGGTAGAGCAAATAACCAGAAGAGTTCTTCTGAGGGTTCTAATGGTTTGCACTCTGCAAAATTAGAAAATAGAAAAGGGAAAAGTATAGTCTTAGTATAGTTTTATCATTTTTAATCTAAAATTTTAATTTTCACAGTCTTTAGCAGTTTTTGATTTTACTTGTATTTGTTTTTATTTTGTAAGAAGCTTTAACTTCCCACTTTGGGGGAGGGGTTATAAATAAATGATTAATTGAGTGATTGGGGTTTGTATTTGAAGAAGATTAACTAGATATTGTTGTTGATTCTATCACAGGGAAGAAGTCAATGAGAAGCTGCGTGACACTGCAGATGGTACATTCCTGGTACGAGATGCCTCCACCAAAATGCATGGGGATTACACACTTACCCTAAGGTGAAGATAATTGAGTTGGATTTATACATTCAAGCATTTTTAAATATGGCTGTTTTTCATAAAACATATCAGCATAAACATGGCTAACTTCTATTTTCTGAATTTTACTTACAGGAAAGGAGGAAATAATAAATTAATTAAAATATTTCACCGAGATGGGAAATATGGCTTTTCGGATCCATTAACGTTCAATTCTGTGGTTGAGCTAATAAATCACTACCGAAATGAGTCTTTGGCGCAATATAATCCGAAACTGGATGTTAAATTGCTTTACCCAGTATCCAAGTATCAACAGGTAAGAAGTTGTTCCTAATCTTCCCCCACTCAGGAGTGTTTGAATTACAGAAATACTGTAATAACATAATTAACCAATTGGCCTTATACTGTTCAGTATTTACAAGATCATAAACTGAATTTATGGACTCATGACTGCTGGGGAGTCACATTTATATTTGTTCACAACTGAACATGACTCTCAGTCCCTACCCTCTTTTGGTCTAGCAGCATCTCCAACCAAGGGGTTTCCGAGGTGTTGCAGATCTGAGCACTGAGGCATAATTGTGACAGGAGCCCAAGGGGGTCTCTCTAGCTCTTGATTCTAGATGTGTTGCATCCAAAAGCATGTTGCAGATATCATTTCAATAAACTGCCAGGCTGAAAATGTAGTTTATTATGGAATGGCATCATCAGATATAACTATGACGATCTTGACGATGCAGGATCTCGACCATTGTTTCAGTTGAAGTCAACTTTAAATGCTGTAGCAAATTTTCACTAGAATAGCTCTTTGACTTCACCAGATGTAAAAGTAGGGTCTTTTCTGCATCAAGATGATCATGGCACAATGTTCCTGTTCATATGAAATATGAACAGGAACCTAATTCTTTGTACTAGTTTTTCCTATAACAGTAGTTTCTCTTTCTGCAATGTGCATCAATAGCCAAATAACCTCTTGTTGTTAGTATATAATAATTTTGGGAGAGGTGTGTGAATATGTAATAGTAAAACAAACAAACCCAGAAAGACAAATGTATAGCTCTTAATTATATAACCTTTTTGGCTATGCAGGAACCTCATTGCATTTGATGAACAGATAAGCTTATTACACGTTAAAGTGTATACATCATACATGTGCTTTTGGTGACAATATTAGCCATAATGTTCTTTGTCAACTCGTGTTGTAGGGAAATTTATTGCATAGATGTTAATTCTTTTATAAATAACTTGTTTGATTATTTTATGAAAAACGTATGTGCTGTAAGATACTCCTTTTTCACTGGTTCTGTTTTCACCTTCTTCCAGGATCAAGTGGTGAAAGAAGACAGCATTGAAGCTGTTGGGAAAAAATTACATGAATATAATATCCAGTTCCAAGAAAAGAACAGAGAGTATGACAGACTCTATGAGGACTACACAAGGACATCTCAGGTGAGCAGGTCAACCACACACCCAGCCTCTAAAGTGATCCTTCTCATTAGGGCTCTTGCTGATAGCATTCTGAGTTAAAAAAAAATATGACATTTCAGAGATTTAATCCAGGCAGCTGTGATAATGTTCTGAAAAGAACATGTTTCTAATAGCTGGACAAGTTTGGGATTGTTGTTTCATTCCTAAACCATCAGTGATTTGGGAACAACTTACACAGGTTCTTCATATGCTGAATACCAATTTACTTTTCAAGTGTTCTGCTCTCCAATCACTTCCAGGCGCATTACTATGACATTAATTATTATGGGGAGAAACTTAATGTCATTCATACTGCACTGCTTTGTAGATATGTCAGGAATATGTTCCTTGTAGATGGTTTCAAAAGTTGTATATAGAAGTATCTCAGCTGATTAATTAGTGTATAACTCCTTTTAAAACATTATTTCCTGCATTGTAGTAGAAATACAGAGTTTAAGGTGGCCTCGTAGGCCATCGTAGTTTTAGTATTTAACTGCAAGTTATTTAACAATAACTAGACTGTCAAATACTTTCATGGCTGCAATCCCTGGGTTGCTTTGAGTTTTCTGGGCTGTATGGCTGTGTTCTAGAAGCATTCTTTCCTGATGTTTTGCCCACATCTATGGCAGGCATCCTCAAAGGTTGTGAGGTCTGTTAGAAACTAGGCAAGTGAGGTTTATATTGCTATGGAATGCCCAGGGTGGGAGAAAGAACTTTTGTCTGCTTGAGGCAAGTGTGAATGTTGCAATTGACCATTTTGATTAGCATTTAATGGCTTTGCAGCTTCAAAGCCTGGCTGGTTGCTGCCTGGGAGGATCCAATTGCAACATTTACACTTGCCTCAAGCAGATAAGAGTTCTTTCTCCCCATCCTGGACATTCCAGATATAAAACCTCACTTGCCTAGTGACTAACAGATACCACAACTGCTAAGGATGCTTGCCATAGATGTGTGAGAAAGGTCAGGAGAGAATGTTTCTGGAACATGACCATACAGCCTGGAAAACTCACAGCAACCCAGTAACTAGACTGTTTAATATTAAGGAAATAATTGTATGGCAAAGCAGTATTGAAATGCTTATCAGGAATTAGCCAAATTAAAAGTGGGGAAAATCTTAGGTGTGCCTAATATTGATAGTATTTGTCTTTATAATTTGCTATCTCCCTTATAAATTTTCACAAATGTAGTTTATTGCAGAAAAATAGGAATCTAAAGAACTTCATCAGGTATGGCCAAGAGCTAGGGCAAGCCCACATAATTTTTTTATTTATATATATATATTATATATATATATATATATATATTTTCTTATACTATGATAGACTGCTTCTCAGTAATTCAGGAATTTTTAGAAGCAGTTTGTTACATGGTAGTGGTTGCATGGGAAAAATATCAGACTTGAGTCTCTCTCATCTCCAGTTAAAGCTGAGAAAAAAAATACTATTTGATACACTGGTTTTCTGCCAGTTAGAATAGATAATGTCCACTATCAATCGGATAAATGGCTAATTGGATAAAATGTCCTGGGTTCCATAGTAAAATTTGAGATTTCCCAACCTTTGGTCCTTCAGGTGTTTTGGGCTTCCAACTTCCAGAAATCCCAGGTGTTAGGAATTGTGGAAGCTGAAGTCCAAAACACCTGGAAAGCCAAAGGTTAGGAACCACTGCTGTAGACCAGTGGTTCTCAACCTGGGAGTCTCCAGGTGTTTTGGCCTACAACTCCCAGAAATCCCAGTCAGTTTACCAGCTTGTTACGATTTCTGGGGGTTGAAGGCCAAAACATCTGGGGACCCACAAGTTGAGAACCATTGCTCTAGATGGATTGTCTGCATTCCTACTCTATGGTTGTTTTCAAGCAACACCCTGTGCAAGTTCACTAATATTTAACAATGCCATGCTACAGATCTGCTTCATGTTCAGATTAGTCTATTGCTTTCAAGAGTTTTTCTGAAGTTGCATCTCATCTCTTGTTTAGGAAATTCAAATGAAAAGAACTGCTATTGAAGCATTTAATGAAACCATAAAAATATTTGAGGAGCAGTGCCAAACACAGGAAAGATACAGCAAAGAATATATTGAAAAATTCAAACGGGAAGGAAATGAGAAAGAAATACAAAGGTTAGTTGGAACTGTATTTCCATTTGCATGCAAGTGGCATCAGAATAACAAGGTGGATCTGTCTGACCAGGTTCTAACATATCATTTCCCTTCTAGAATTATGCATAACTATGAAAAACTGAAATCTCGAATCAGTGAAATTGTGGACAGTCGGCACAGACTAGAAGAGGATTTAAAAAAGCAAGCGGCTGAATATAGAGAAATTGATAAACGCATGAACAGCATTAAACCAGACCTTATACAACTCAGAAAGACTAGAGATCAGTACTTGATGTAAGTAGCTATCATTGCCAGATGTACAACTGTTTAGTCATTATTCAGAATGTGATTTTCGTGACTATATTGCCATAACTAACTATGTCTTCAAAATTGCTTTCCAGGTGGCTAACTCAGAAGGGTGTTCGGCAAAAGAAATTGAATGAATGGCTTGGCAATGAAAATACAGAAGAGTGAGTATCCAAATCCCTTGTGAACTACATGTCAGTTAAATTCTGCTTGAGCACATTTTGATGATGGAGTTTACATATTCATAGAATCATAGAATCCTAGAGTTGGAAGAGACCTCATGGGCCATCCAGTCCAACCCCCTGCCAAGAAGCAGGAATATTGCATTCAAAGCACCCCTGATAGATGGCCATCTAGCCTCTGTTTAAAAACCTCCAAAGAAGGAGCCTTCACCACACTCCAAGGCAGAGAGTTCCACTGCTGAACGGCTCTCACAGTCAGGAAGTTCTTCCTCATGTTCAGATGGAATCTCCTTTCTTGTAGTTTGAAGCCATTGTTCCGTGTCCTAGTCTCCAGGGAAGCAGAAAACAAGCTTACTCCCTCCTCTCTGTGACTTCCTCTCACATATTTATACATGGCTATCATATCTCCTCTCCGCCTTCTCTTCTTCAGGCTAAACATGCCCAGCTCCTTAACCCGCTCCTCATAGGGCTTGTTTTCCAAACCTTTGATCATTTTAGTCGCCCTCTGGACACATATTCTACTGTAAGGACAATAAAGGAGAGATATCTTTCATATCAACCGCTTCTCCCTGAAATTCAGGTGCTAGATGAGCTCTAGATCAGGTATGGGCAAACTTCGGCCCTCCAGGTGTTTTGGACCAACTGCCGGCCGTTAGGAATTGTGGGAGTTGAAGTCCAAAACACCTGGAGGGCCAAAGTTTGCCCCTACCTGATCTAGAATCTTACTTAAATAGATAATCTGTAGCCCTTTTTTTTCTCTTCACTAAAGGAAAGCAATCAGTGTCCATGTAACAATTGCACACAGATCACCTGCTTGTATGCCAAATCTAGTGTATAAAAGGGCCCTAATATTCTGTTGAATTCCCAGTTGTGACTTGAAATAGTCAATTTCAACTGTAACTGCTTGGGAAAGCAACTGAGGGAGAACACGAGAGGCTTTCAGCCTGTTTTAGGTGCTGCTCCTCTTTGGAAGACTTTTGCTCAAAGCTGTTACTTGTAGCTGCAGAGTGTTCCAAAATAGAGTAAACAACAGAAGAAGACAAATTACAGAAATGTGCAGAGAAAGACCTGGAGGGAATCTATTCCCTTTTTTACTCTGTGAACAAGAACAATTTGAATTGCTATAACTTGATCTTAAGGCGGGTTTATGATTTGGGGCAAGAGAGGAGTAGAATAATGGTATCTGTTTTTTGTCAATACATAGACACCCCAAAAAGCATAGTGCATCCTAATCACCTGGCATTAAATTGTTCAGTGTTGACACAGTATAGCACCATTATTAATAACAATACCATCAGTGCTAGGTGGAGTATTAGTTTCTTCCAGCTCATTTATTGTCATAATGGATGGTTAACAATAATCTTCTTGATCACATTGAAAGGTTGGGGCATTAGATTCAAAATTTTAGTTGTGCTTTCCTAAATTTGGAAGATAATGAGGGAGCTATGATTAGGAAATTGGTTGTCTCTGGATCTCAGAACATTGTTTGAAAATGCTAAGTGAGCTATCTTTGGAAGTCATTAATGAAACAAATCTTCATGTTTTAAACAGCCAATACTCTATGGTGGAAGACGATGAGGATTTACCTCATCATGATGAGCGAACATGGAATGTTGGAAATATCAACAGAAGCCAAGCTGAAAATTTATTACGTGGAAAGCGGGATGGGACCTTTCTTGTTCGGGAAAGCAGTAAACCGGGTTGCTATGCCTGCTCTGTTGTGTATGTATTTTATTGTTTTTGCCTACTTTTAAAGCGGTGGCAGAGCAGTAAATGAATCTGCCCTTCCCCCATGATATCTCATTGCCACACCTTCTACAGTAAAAGTGTTTCTAATCTATCCTGCTCCAGCATAGTGCCTTCCAAATGTGTTGGCTGACAGTTCTCATCATCCCCAGCCAGCATGGTCACAGCTGAGGAAAATTGGTGTTATGATCTTAAACATTTGGAGGTCATCCAGTTGTATAACTATTCATTTCTTTACCTTAGTGGTTGCTAAGGTAGTGAAGGCTGATAGTGTTTGTTACCAACCTTTTGCCCCACCTGTCTAGTCTAGAACAGCTCTATGCTGGAGGAGGAGATGCAACTAGTCACCGCAGTGGTTCTCAACCTGAGGGTCCCTAGATGTTTTGGCCTTCAACTCCCAGAAATGCTAACAGCTGGTGAACTGGCCAGGATTTCTGGGAGTTGTAGACCAAAACACCTGGGAACAGGTTGAGAACTAGTGCATGTGTGAGAAATGAATGCTATGTCATATTTCCCCAAACTGTTATTGCTTGTGTACCTCATTTTTTTCTTCAAAATGCTTACTGAATGTCTCTACTCTCCTGTTTTGCACTCTGTTAGCCCAGTTCAGTTTTCTGGCCATTGATATACTTCATTCAGTTTGAAGTTACTCACTTGATGATTCAGTGGCACAGAATGCATTTTAAGCTGAATAACATTGCATTCCTCTAAGCTCATATGGGTTGTATCCATAGCAAAATGAGAAAGCTGTCATTTATAGCAATTCCCTTGGTGATCCCTACATCCAACAAAAATTTTCTCCAGAGGGTTTTTTTTTTCCAGAGAGGAAGGGGTTTTTCAGATTAATAAAGGAAGTTGCACAAACGCTGCAGACACATGTGATATCCCTCCAATCCTTCTTTCCATGTTGCAAGGAGTGAAGTTTTTACTGCAAGGATGGGAAAATATGCCCTTTTTATGTCTCCCAATATTCCTCTGATTCCTTCAAAGTCGCCTCACCCCCCCCCCCCCCCCCCCCCCCCCCACACACACACACACACTCCTTTCCTTTTTGGAAAAAAAAATGAGATGTGCAAAAAGTCACCCGAAAATAATAAGTCACTATTCCTGAGAGGTGAGCTTACTATTACTTAATTTAGACCCTCAAACCCACCCCACAAAAGAAAAAGTGAAATAAAAGCAACTTTGACTACCACTGAATTTGAATATACAGCTATTTTGTGGGCAGTTTTAGGCGGAGGGATATGGTCTAAGGAGGGGGACATGGGGTGAAATTTTGTCTGCACTCCCATCACAGTGTTACTAGGTGAGACATCATTATGTAGAATACTGTCCTCCCAGGTAAATATGTATATGGTTGCAATCTTAAGATCTGTAAGAAGTATTCTGACAGAGGCTGATGCATTAGAGAAAAAGAAGGTTTTTTATTTACTATGTTGAAGAATATAGATTATTGAAATGTTGTCAGTTCATCATAAATAAGACAATTTAAGTTGTTTTAGACCAGTGGTTCTCAACCTGTGGGTCCCCAGATGTTTTGACCTTCAACTCCCAGAAATCCTAACAGCTGGTAAACTGACAGGGATTTCTGGGAGTTGTAGGCAAAACACCTGGGAACCCACAGGTTAAAAACCACTGTTTTAGACTATACATAGTCTTGTGCATTTGTATAGAATCACAATCCATTTGTTTGTTTCAATCATAAGGCCCCATTTTCATTTTTGAGCCTGCTTGCCCCACACATTCTCCTTGGAAAGAGAGTGTGTGTGTGGCGAACAGGCCCAAAATGCCCATGCCTGCCAGGATCTACATCCGAGCACTGAAAATCGGCTGACCGAACAGTTGCCATTACTACTTTTGTTCCACTTACGTTTCCGTACTGGAGGGTGGTGTACCATTTCATGCCTTCCAAATGAACGAAACGGTACGAAAACACAAATTAAATGGATGAAACTGTAACTGGGCTCATGACTACTATATAGTAATTACAATTGAAAGCAAATTTGTTTTTCTTAAAACAGATAAAATCTCTTCCTTGGCCCCTTAAAAACAACCTCCTTTTTTCTCTTCATAGGGTGGATGGTGAAGTGAAGCACTGTGTTATCAACAAAACACCTACTGGTTATGGATTCGCAGAGCCATATAACTTGTACAACTCTCTGAAAGAACTGGTGCTACATTATCAACACACTTCGCTAGTGCAGCACAATGACTCACTCAACGTCACACTAGCCTATCCAGTATATGCACAGCAGAGGCGATGAAGATGTTAATACTATGGGGTTTGTCTCTTTTTATTCAATGCCCACAAAGATAATTCAACAGTCTTGAGGCCTCTGGATAGTGAATGCTCTTGCGTTGGAGCTAAGCCGTCAAAGCCGTCTGTCTTCGGATGGGACTCAAGCTTCCTTCACAACCGCGGTGGGAGAAATAGCTGAGTTAAGAGCTGTGAACACACCTTTCTAATCTAAAGTGCTTTTTTGAAAAACAAAATAACCTGAGTAAAGGAAAACAAAACAAGAAGAAAGAAGTGCTACACCTGTCTCACTGCAGGGACATAGAGGCCTTTAACCATGGTGCTTGTTGACCATTTCCTTGAAGCTTTAAGAGCTCAAATGTTGGGACTCTGAAGATCGCAAAGTACAGCAGGGGCTGTATAAATGGCAACGTACTTTCACAGTTGTGACTTGGGTGATGCAGCTGTGTGCAATGGATGCAAGATGCCCAGAGCTGCGGATGGCTGGTTTTCTGAAGAATATGTAGCAGAATGGCACTTTTGTTTTTAAGGGACACTTTAAAAGACTTGACAGTGTGTTCTTCAGAGAAACAGATATGGTAACAGAAGTGCCAGGAAGTGTTTTTGTTTAGACATTGAAAAATCTTGTTTTGAGAAGATATTTAAGACTGAAGAAAACTGGGCTATTACAGCCTACAGTATATAATATGTACATAGTTCTGGATGACTAACTATTGTAGATGGATAATGTGTCAATACCAAACTCATTCTGTTCATTATTTGTTTCTGGGTTTTGTTTTGTTTTTTTTTGTTTTGTTTCCTTTTCCCCCCTTTTTTTTGGAAAAGCGTAATCCTTACACTGCTATGCAATACTTCATTTTCTATAGGCTGTTTTGGTTCAAGTGTAAATGGAGGATAAGCTTTTTCCCCCCTTTCTTTCCTTTTTGTCATCTCAAAATGTTCCCTTAACGACTATTGTTGTGTTAATTTCCATTTTGTTCATTCTTTCCCTTCTTTCCTCCTTTTTTAATTTTAAAATGAAATGTACAGGACGTCAGTAAAAGATGGCTTCAGAATTAAAGCTATGAGCTATTTTAACAGGGTTTGTCCCCTTTTTATAGAGTATTGAGCTGCTAGCTCAAGATTAAAATTGAAAATTTCCTTTCTAACTAAAGATTATGTTGGGCAGTGCCTGATAAGCTTCAAAGCTGCTTCAATAAAATATATGAACATTGCAAAGTATTACTGAGTCAAACAATATTGTTTGAAAAAATATCTTCAGATGATGGTATCCCACTATGTACGGTCCATTTTTAGATTTCTGTCCTGGGTATGTTTGTATTTGAAAGAGGACATTTACTTTGAAGTAGTAAACAGATGGGAATCATTGACTGTAAAATTAAACTTAATCTTTTAGATGAAATCATGTGAAATTTTAACTAACTATTCTAGACATGGCATTGAAGTTACTTTTCACATCATACAGAGAAACAGTTTCAGTTGGTTGCTTTCTTTTAAGTATAACAGAACACATAATTTTAGGAAGCCCTATTTCTGTGACACCTATTTTCCACAGTTAATATTTGTTACGTTACATTTCTGTGAAATAAAATAATCAAAAATTCTCATCTGAAAATACACATTAGGTAATAATGAGGTAAAAATGTCAGAAACATGAAACCTCAGTGTTAATAGTATTTTACCAAATCCCACACTCCTTGAACAATAACTTTAAAAATCAAGGTTTTGTTTTTTAGTTAAAGGATGCTTGGAGACTTTTTTTTAGTGAGTAAGCAAAAAGATAGATCTTACAGTGCTCTTTATGGTTTTGACCTGTTAGGCAATCTGTGCTTCTTAGAACGAAGCATTAAGGACTATTTGTAGATATGTTTTCTATCATTTGCTAACATTATAGATATGTTAGTTTTGTTCCCTTTTTAAAAAAAAAATACTGGTGTCTTTTATATCTGAAGCTGTGTGAGGAGTTTGTTTATACTATGTTGACTTTTGCTTTCTTGGGGAATGTGGTTTATTTCAGCATATTTTAGAGTTCAGTTCAAACTCCTCTGAAAGTTAATGAAGAGAAGCTTTGGAAAGAGTTAGGACTGTAGCTGCAAGCTGGAAGCTTTAATTCTCTTGAGCTGGATTGGTCACATTTGAGTCAGTGGGGTTACTCTTGGTCTATTCAGGAGGAAGTGAACTAAGAAGCATTTCATCTCACGAAGCAAAGTTCAATGAAAAATGTACACCTGTTTTAGTTCATTGATTCTTCCTCACCAGAACTCTCAAGAATAGAACAAACACACCTCATGCTCTGTTTTTTTGTTTGTGAAGGGCAATTTGATGGTCATTAAGTAGCAAGTTATTTGTAATTGTAATGTGACCGAAATGCACTTTTATAGAGCAACATGAATGTGCATCAGTAGGTTCTCGCCCTTGGCTTATTGTCAAACAGACAGTTGATATTGTCAGTTCTGAACAATCTGTTTGGAGGGAAGAGAAAATTGAATCTGAGCCCCTGTTGAAGGGGGAAATTTGGGACCCAGACTCAGCCCTTCAGTCCCCCTAAGCCCCCAAAACAGTTGATCGGCACTTGGATTTGACAGTACAGACCATGTGTTTGGTGCTATATGCTGTTGCCACCTATACAGCATTGTAGAACTGAACTGGATACAGTGGGTCAGCCTTGAGAACTATATACACAGTATGTTTTGTAGTAGAGGGTTCTCAATCCACACACAAAAGCCTGCTCCTGTGCATCCATCTCTCCCTCTCTGGCTGAGGATACAGAGAGGCAAAACCAAAACTCCTGAACTACAAAGATAACTTAACAGGGCTTTTGGAATACAAACTGCCATGTTTATATCATGAAAACAACTACTACAGACAAAACAAGTTATGGGTTCCTTAACTTGAGGCTAAGATTTGTGGTCTCTGATATACTTCTATATATGTATGTATGATGGAGAGAAAGAGTGTGTGAATGGCCATTTTCTAAAAGCTGTTTTCAGCCATTAAAGCATGCAGTGATTTTTGCTCCAAATTTCCCATTTGTCCAAACAGGCTGGATGTGATGGACTGGGAGTGTTCCTAATTGTATTTTAGTGTATGGATTTTGTTGTCACTTGTGTTGTTAGCTGCCCTGAGGGCTCTCTAAACCCTTCAGCTGGAAATGCATTTTTTAAAGCAACAAACAGAATCATATTCTAATAATTGGACGTTTGTATAAATGGGAGTACTCTTTGCATGGAGATAATTCAATTCAGATATATAAGATTTGCTTTTATAAATTACATTTGAATATGCAGCAAGTCTGTTCTATGTGCAGTCATTATACTAAACTAAATATGTTCTAACATCTCTTTGTATTAAAAAGGAACGCACACACTTTCCCCCCAGACTAAGGAACTTATCACACAACACTGTTAAAGTGCTAGATTTCACTTTATCTGCCATGACAACATCACATGGTATCTTGGGATTTGCACATTAGGGAGGAACACTTAGAATTCTCAGCCAAAGAACTCGTGGTCCACACTAAACTACAAAGCCCATAATTCTACATGGTGTTGGCATGGCAGTTAACATGGAATATAGCGTTTTAACAGTGTGGTGTGATAGGTAACAAAGAGTGAATGGCATGGGTGCATCTGAGTAAATTCAAGTAACTGAAAAGCATAGGGAGCTTGGAAAAGGTCATGTTTCTATCATTTGTTTTAATGTGTAAAGCCAAATTTTATGTTTCAGTGTCAGCTGTTATGTAGAAAAAGTGGCTTTGTCTTGTGGTTTAACAATGAGCTATGAAGCTTTTGGGGGAAAGTATCATCCTGATCTTTTTTATTGGGGAGAAACATTTGTTCAATTTAACACTGCTTTTGCTATGCATGATGTTTGGAGAAGCGATGCCTTTTACTCGGAATCGCTTTCAAAATGGGCAGTTCCAAGCACAATGCCTCCCATGGGACATAGTTCAAAATGCACTATTCCGTTTTTGGGGAAAATTAGTTTAGTAAGATCTAGTTAAAATGGGCAAATAAGAAATTTAAGACAAACTTAACATTGCTTTTTGTCCCAATGAGATTGCATTAGCTGCCCAAGATGCTGCTATTTTATTTTTAAGTTCCTCCCTTTAAAAAACATAAGCTCTGTTCTGTTAAATGTGTTTTTAAAACATTAAAAATTCTTTGTTTAAATTTTTTAGGGAGGCTGACGCTAAATGGATCAGTTGTACATTGCCTTTAAAAGGCAATATTAACAAATGCACCTCCTTAAAAAAATGTTGGCTTTCTGAAATTGATGGAGCTGTTGTCCTGTTTTTAAGTTGCTTAAAACAGAATAAAAGTGGTTTTGAAACTACATCTGATGTCTGGACTCCTCACTGAGGTACTTGCATATAAACTGGCACTTTTTTGTATAGGGATCAAAGGTAAACAAGTGGTTGCAGCAAAGGATTTTACATGCACACAAAAATTCAAGTATAGGGGTTAAAAGCAACTTGCTAAAATTGTGATCCTACTATCCCTGGGAGGATGAAGAGAAAAGGGTGTTGGCCTTTTCGTCATGGCCATGGTAAACTAAGGTGAATTGTGGATTGAAGAAGAATATCTTACCACCTTTTTGTTGCTGATATGGAAACATCATCCTGCATTGCCAGCAAAAGAGAACTGTTCCCTTTGGACCCTTCAGCCCAAACCCAAAGACCTCCCTAAGCTGATTCCCATATCTATCCTGTTGGTAAAAGCATGGATAGGATTTATTGTCGAAGGCTTTCATGGCCAGAATCACTGGGTTGCTGTAGGTTTTTCAGGCTACATGGCCATGTTCTAGAAGCATTCTCCCTTACGTTTCGCTCGCATCTATGGCAGGAATCCTCAGAGGTTGTGAAGTGTGAACAATCTCAGGATGCCTGCCATAGATGCAGGTGAGATGTCAGGAAAGAATGCTTCTGGAATATGGCCATACAGCCCGAAAAAATTACAAAAACCCAGTTAACCTATTTTTTTATTGGTAAAATTTGTTCAAAGCCTTTGACTTCCTTTAACGCTGAGAACTTGTCCCAACACAGCACTAAAACAAAACACTGGCTCAAAACTTACAGCTGTAATGCAACATTTATAATTAACAAAGATAAGAAAACTCAGTTTTCATACACAAACAACAAAACGCGTGTTGTTCATTATTAAGTAGGCTGATTTTTTTCACCATAAAATTCCTGCAAATATTCTTTTAAAAACAGTTAAAACATATATAAAAACCCGATTTGCTTCGTTTCCAACAGACCTCACAATCTCCGAGGATGCCTGCTATAGATGCAGGCAAAACATCAGGAGAAAATGCTTCTAGAATTCATATAGCCTGAAAAACCTACAACAACCCATGGATAGGATTTGCCAGTCTTTCTGTCCTAGGTTGCACTGGCCATTTGGCACACCACAGTAGTGTGATTAACTCCACCGTATTATATGGCTACATATTTTTTGTCTTTAATTCAGTGGTTCCCAACCTTCTTTTGACCAGGGACCACTTTGACCAGGGGACTACTTGACCAGGGACCACTCTGACCAGGGACCACACTCCAACATTAGTACCAAAAGGGTTATGAATCAGTTTTTGGTCAACTTTAGTTTTTGGCTTGGGGTGCTGATTCAGAAAATAGCATTGGATAGACCACATCAGCTGTAGTTTCTGATACGGACCATAAGCCATGGTCAGCGACAGGGAAGGAATGGAAGGTGGCATGAAAGGAGTGGAAATAAAGAGGAAGGGGGCTTGCGGACCAGATTTTTGTCCTTGCTGCCTATTGGAAGGTCCGCAGCCTATAGCTTTAATTATTGGAGATTATTCCCAGATCATGCCTTGCCCAAACTGTATTCTCTAAAAAATATGATGTACGCATCTCTGTTTTTAAAAGAAACATGGCTCCTTCCCCCACATTACTGCTAATATTGGATACAGGGAGTCCAAAATGGAGCAGAGGCCACATACTGCCTCTCATAAATATAAAATAAGTCCCCAATAATTAGTGCTACAAAGACCTTTTCTCTTATGGTCTGCCACATCTCACAAGTGGGCAAAGAAGAGGATGTATTTACATTTCTGGAAGAGAGACCTTTGAAGGAAAGAGTAAAGATGATGGTTTCCGTTATGACTTTGGGGAGGAGCCAAGAAAAGACCTACAATCCCAATTTGAAAGACCTACAGTTTTAATCAAATGTCTTCCTTCCAACATGTCCAAATTTTGACCCAGTGGCAATGCCATAGGAGTGTAATGAGAGCTGTTGCTAGCAAATATGCTGAGGTTTGTTTTTCCAATATCCACCCATGATCTTCTTAAGCTGGAATATCTGAAGAAACAGAAAAGTCGGAGTCGATGCTGCCTCTTGTTTTTTTGTTTCCTTCGCACTGTTTCCTTTTTGTTCAACCCCCTTCTCCTGTTTCAGCAGCAAAAGTGATGATGCTGATAACTGTCATTATCATTATTTAAGCTGAGGTAACAATACAGATAATAGCATTCACCGAGGGAAGGGATAAGAGTGACAGCAGTATTTATTATTCTGAAAATTGTATCCATCATACCTTTCTACCTGGAACTTCTCGTTCTCAATAGATGAGTTTGTTAATTGGACATGCCTCCAACCCAAGGGACGTTTAAGCTGCTTGTGTCTCTCTATGGCTTTTCCTTTACTATCATGTGACTTAATGCCATCTATTTGGCATGCATAGGATTACTTTTCGGGCTAATCCCCCTCCCCCTGGGTTTCGCCTCTGTATTATATTCTCTCTGTCCATCCAGTGCGCTTACCTCATAATAACAGAACACATCACTTCATATATGTGGGAAATTTTCTTTCTTTTTAAACACATACTATATTTGGGGATATGCTTTGGAGGAAGTTTCTTTGACAAATCATTTTGGCTGGACTAACATTTCACAGATTGAACATGTATTTTCATGCTCTTCAATTTCCCTTTAAAACCGGATTTCACAGAACTTAAAAGTAATATAACTACCTGTAAATAAATTATTTTCAGGAGTAACAAAAGCAACGTAATTCCAGTTTAAAAGAAACATAAGAAGTAAGGAGGAAAGATTATTTTGTCTTTGAAGTGAGTATAATGAATCCTGATTTAATTGCAGTACAACCTCAGTGGCACAGCAGGTTAAAGTGCTGAGCTGCTGAACTTTCTGACCAAAAGGTTGGTGGTTCGAATCTGGGGAGCAGGGTGAGCTCCCGCTGTTAGCCCCAGCTTCTTCCAACCTAGCAGTTTGAAAACATGCAAATGTGAGTAGATTAATAGGTACGCTTCAGCAAGAAGATAACAGCGCTCCATGCAGTCATGCCAGCCACATGATCTTGGAGGCATCTATGGACAACACCGGCTCTTCGGCTTCAAAATGGAGATGAGCACCACCCCTCAGAGTTGGACATGACTAGATAAACCGTTACCTTTACAACCCTTATATCTTCCAGGAATACATTTTTGCATTTACTACAGAAACAGGCAACAGTGGACAAAAACAAACAAATTTACTATAGAATTATCCTAAAGGATAAAAGAAAATTCCTAGAGAGATACCCTCTCTAGGAATTTGTTGGGTCTTCCAGGGTGGTTCTATGAAAAGTTACAGCAGAAGCATACCATAGAATCACCTAAAGGGCCTAGAATTTTTTTGGAGAGGATACATTTTGTGAGTTGTGGATAGGTAAAATCACTGGTACTGATCCTGTGGATATGGATATTTTACTGTATTTTCTAGTTACTAGTGGAATTTTCCAAGTATTATGCTATTCTTCTATCAGTTATAACTTTAAAAGGGGGAATAAAAAGGTTGTAAGCAACCAGTTATTTCTTAAAAAGTTACCAAGTAATAATGACAAATAACTTCGTAAAATGTCACACATTACTTTTGAAGCTACCTTTCCATGTTCTGGCAATTCTCACGTAAGGTTGCCCACAACAGCACATGTGGTTTTGTAGCTAAGGACCACAAGGCTCAACTCATTATGAAGAAAGGAGTAAGCCAGTGTTTCATAAGTGACATAACTTCAGAGTGGAACGTAATCTCAGAGCTGTGTTTGCCAGCAGGTGGGGAGTGGAAGGATTAAAAAAAAAACCCCTCTATTTTAGCTGTGGGAAGAATCCTAACCCAAGAATAAAAGGCTAAGTTGAGCACCACCAACCACCAACCAGCAGCTGCTCTGTTTCTTTTACAGCTAGAACTGTGAGGCAACTTAGCCAGTGCAGGGAACTAATCCTAAGACAGTTTTTCTCAACCTGGGTGTCTGGTCCCCTGGGGGGGGGGTCGCGAGGTGATGTCAGAGGGGTCGCCAAAGATCATCATAAAACAGTATTTTCTGTTGGTCATGGGGGTTCTGTGTGGAAGTTTGGCCCAATTCTATTGTTGGTGGGGTTTAGAATGCTATTTGATTGTAGGTGAACTATAAATCCCAGTAACTACAAATGTCCAAGTCTATTTTCCAAACTCCAGCAACTACAACTTCCAAATGTCAAGGTCTATTTTCCCCAAACTCCACCAGTGTTCACATTTGGGCATATTAAGGATTCATGCCAAGTTTGGTCCAGACCTATCATTGTTTGAGTCCAGAGTGCTCTCCACACTCCAAAACTCAAGGTCAATGCCCACCAAACACCTTTCTGTTGGTCATGGGAGTTCTATGTGTCAAGTTTGGTTCAATTCCATTGTTGGTGGAGTTCAGAAAGCTCTTTCATTGTAGGTTAACTATAAATCCCAGAAACTAAAACTCCCAAATGATAAAATCAATCCCCTCCCAACCCACCATATTTGTATTTGTGCCAAATTTGGTCCAGTGAATGAAAATACATCCTGCATATCAGATATTTAAATTACCATTCATAACAGTAGCAAAATTACAGTTATGAAGTAGCAATGCAAATAATATTATGGTTGGAGGTCAACACAACATGAGAAACTGTATTAAGGGGTTGCAACATGAGGAAGGTTGAGAACCACTGTCCTAAGAGTTTCATGGAATCAGAAGTGTCGAGGAGCATTATTAGCCCATTCAGATTTTGCAAGGAAGTTAAGCCAAATGTGGAGATGGCCAAGTAGTTATTGGCTCACCATAGATTCATGCCCAAGTTTCAAGCTTAGCCTGGAATTCATTGTTCCAAATCAGTCCATTGCTCCTCTATAGATTCATTCTGTACACAGTTTTATATCTACGAGAAGCTTAGATTTGTAATTGCAGAGAAAGCTGCCGAGGGCATTAGGAAGGCTATGGAGAGCCATGACAGGAACAAAGCTATTAAGAATGAAAACAGCTGTTGATACCCTGGGAAAGGATAATGCAGGCAGGAAAAATTTGAACTTT